CTGCCATAACTGTACCCAAACATGAAGAAAAGGGGGATGAAAAAAAAAGCCCAAATAACATTTAATCAAATGAGATTGTCTAGATTTCAACTTCAGGTAATTACCTAGACTTGTACAGTCCCCTAACAGGTAATGTCAACCCTGACTACTACATCCAGAATAACTTCATTGAGTCAAATTCTGCTCTTACCCTGGTGTGATATATAGAATCACTCTGGTTACCTCAGTGAAGTTTCTACTGATTTATGGCAGGTAAATTTGACCCTATTGTAAAATCTGAGGATATGGGAAATATGTTAAAATAAAGGAGGGTGAAGTGTGTGGTACCAAAGATACTGCTTTAGGTAACATGAGTTAAAAGTCAGCCTTGAAACTGCTCTGATTTTCACTGGGATCATAATTCCAGCCAACCCCAGCCAAGTGCTGAGCCCGGCTCCGTCCCCTGAGAGCAGCGCCAGGCTCAGTGCTCGGCTGGCATGGCCCCATCCCCTGCAAGCACACTATGGAGATGCTGCTCAGCCGGGAGCTGAGCTCTGCCCCATGTCCTGTGAGTGGCGCTGCCTGGGCTGTGCCAGCAGAGCGCTGAACCCAGCACTGCTTGCAGGGGATGGGGCTGGGCTTGGCTCTCGGCTGGCGGGCCCCAGGCAGTGCCGCTCGCAGGGGCCGGGGCCAGGCTCAGTGCCCAGCTGAGCAGCATCTTCATAGTGACGGCAAGGCCCTCCAGCTGTGCTTGGGCTGGGCCCAAGCCCCATGGCCTCCAGTGACAGGGATTCTTTTGGTAGATGAAAAAGGTCAGGTTGAGGCTGGGCCAGGATTTGGCTGGGGCTGGGGTCAAAAGTATCGATACAGTGTATAAGTCAAGATTGAATTTTAAGAGTTAAAAACTGGGCTTCAACACTCGACTTATACCTTGAAATACGGTGGCTGAAATGCCAAACCATTGCGTCTGATTGCAGCAAATATCTTGTGATTGTCTGAATGGCCTGGGTAGCAGGGATGGGCCACTTATAGGTTACAGGGCTTCTATGTGTGTGTTCAGGTGAACTGAAATGATAACCTTTTGATTGATCTTTACTAGACTGGTAATCTTAAACACCCTCATTAGCTTTCTCTAGCCAATCACTGCCTATCATGATAGACAAGCCGTACACATAGGTCACTATGGCATAAACACGACTCCTGTAGAGAGTGATTACAAAGCATTTATCTTTGCTTCTGAGATTCACTTCCCATATATCTGTGTTTTCACCTCCTCATCTGAGCAGAGGGAGGAGGTGATGCAACTGTGAACAGGAATTCAGAATGACTTTGAATATGTTGTGGAAATAATTAGGAGACTAATTTGAAAGTCACTGTGTAATCTATGCATACAAATACCCTCCAAAGAGTTTCTTTTGGCAAGCAGCCATTGAATTTTTGAGGGTGTTTTATATACTGGTACTTCCACCCTGAGACAACAAAGAGAGTGGGAGGCTCATTTAAAAACTGTAGGCACTTTTCTATTTTAGGGAACGTGTATTCCTAAGAATGTGAGCTTACATCCACAGCTTCTGAAAACCATTCTCTGAAACATTAATTCTGTTCAGTCTGCTATCGTATTTCTATACCCACTAATGTTCCCCTCCCTTCCTTGCTTCCTTGTGGTGCACAAACAACATATGGACAGTCTCATGAAATATTCATTAATCTCCTCACACCGGGAGTTGGAATTTCTCGATGCTAAGTGCTGATTAGAGGAGGGTTGATATTTTTCATTTGAAACATTGTTTTTTGATGAAAATGGCTTATCTGTTAAAATGAAAAAATTCTTGATGCATTTTTTACATCTTGGAGCTTTGATTTAAAAAAAAAACGGCTGATTTTTGTTTGTATTTTGGAATTTTCTTTTTAATTGACCACCATAAAGACAAATGTTGATGACAATGAAAACATGTCCACCAAAAAAGGGCCAGGAAGAAAAGCCCTTTCCTGATCAGCTGTAGTGTCGATGTGCTATGCACTCTATACAAGGTTCTGCAATGTCAGGGCAGACTCTAAATGCAGAACACATTAGAAAAAGAAAGAAAACAGATGGTAGCAATATGCTTTCAGATATGCATTTTTAAACATAGTCAAAATAAGTCCCTGACAATTCATAAGGTACAATTTTAGTGTTAGGGCCAAACCTGCTTTTGGATAGATATAAGCTCTCCAATGTTACCAGTACAAACACCTCCTTTCTGGTCCCGCCATCCAATCTGGAGGTGGGAATATTCACATTCCATAACTGAACTGAATTTTGCCCAGAAATGCATATGCAAGTTTTGTGGAAGCAAATTGCACCAGCAAAAAAAAAAAAAAAAGGTTTGATAGGGACAGGGGTAACTCCTGATTCTGTGCATATACCTGCTTTGTTTCCATCTCTCCATTTGACACAGATTCTTGCAAGTAGAAATAGGGTAAGTGCATCTGGATTTGGAAACAGGGTACGTGCATATAGAATACGCTGCTCAGAAGGAAAACCTGCATGAATTGAAAATGGTATTTGCAAAAATGTCTGTTATCTTGACCACTCTGTGAATTCTTGGTTCATATATGTCCAAGAGTCCTGATGTCTAATGGCCCCACAACTTGATTTTTGTTATTTTGGACACAGTCAAACACTCAGCCATTCAGACAACATTATTTCGTCCTGATATTATTTGCTGGCTCACAAGGGAAAGCCATTTTTAAAAATCAGATCCAGACCCTTAAAACGAAAGTTCTTTTGAAATTTCCAACTTTCTATTGATTTCTGCGCAGAACACACACAAAAATTGTAAAATCCAAATACGCAGTAGGTATGGGCTACCTCAACATATCTTTCTACTCCTGCATTAAGTCACTGTTCCAGAAGTCATGCTCAGGAACTTCTGGTCAATTATGATGATACCACAGTACTGAAGTATTCTCCTTAAATACTGCTTGTTGTAGCAGAGCATCCTATTTTAAGTGGTGGCAACTCTCTAATGGGACTGTAAACTGCTTGAAAGAGACATACGTTGTTTTGACAAGTCAGAACCCAACTGTCCCTCTGGGTTTATTTGTTTCACTCCCTGTTTAATCATTCCCTTTAGGAAAAGCCTCCATGAATTTTGTGGATGGAGAGAGTGCTATGGATTACCCAATTTAGTCTCTTTCTAGCCAAGAAAGGAATAAAGTTCAGTTGATGTGGCTACATCCAACCCCTGGAATTGCACCTGGAAATGAATTGCAAACCAGTGTAAACTATGGAAAACAGTGAAGTGTCTTCCCCTTTGCAGTACCCCAATTTGCAGGCAACAAAACTCAGAGACACACTAAATTTGTCCTCTGTTGGATAGTTATGCATCTTAACCACAAGAGTCTTATCCTTCATTTTATAACCTACATAAGCTTAGAGACTCGGGACAGCTTGTCAGCTACTGTAAATTGACATAGCTTTACTGAAGTCACTGAATCCAGAATTATTTATAGGTTTTGCCCCTCAGTTCATAAGAATCTGTGCGACAAATGCTAGCTTCATGACAATAAATCAAGCAGCCTTACCTTTCCAAGAGGCACATTGACATCAAGGCCAAAGAATAAAGGCAAGAGAGAAGAACAAGAATAGAAACAGAAACTGCAGAAGAAAAATAAGAACAAGATATAAAAGTTGTTGTAGGGTTTTATGGATCAGAGTAAGTACTGAGCAATTCAAGCAACAATGCTACACTCAGGTTAGCGTAAGACCTGACACTGTTCTGTGTACAGAAAACATTTCCCCCCTAGTTACTCCTGAAAATATTAACCCCTTTTCCCAGTCTAGAAAGACCCACCATTCAGAAGTGTAATGGTAGATCTACCGTGATAGGAACCAATGTAGCTTCACTGAAATCACAAAGCTATGCTGATTTAGGCGCATTTGCCACATGGTTTTGAAAATGATGCTTCCAGTCCATACTGGCAAATGTACCAGGATTATGAATTTGTGGTGACCTTTAAAAGTGATCTTTAAAAGATCTATAAAAGTGATCTTTACCAGAACAGGTCCTTTGAATTATTGTTCCTTAGATACTCTTTATTATCTACCACATTTACTCAAATATAAGACAATCCTGAATATAAGACAACCCCCCCACTAACAAGATTTTACATATGGACAATGTATAAATTAGTTATATTATTTGAAATATAGAATTTAATGATTGGAAGTTGGCCTTGAAATTTCCCCCTTCCCACTGCTATATGAGGGAAAATAAATGTGTGTGGGGGGGTGGCAGGTGGCCCTATCCCTCCCAACTTTCTCCCCTGCAACCGGTTCCCCTGCTCCTTACAGTCAGCCCCTGCTCTCCCTGAGCACATGAAAATGAGTGGCAAATGTGAAAATGCTGACCTTGCAATAATCATAGAGTGATAAAGTCATAGAGAAGTAGGGCTGGAAGAAACCTCCAGAAGTCATCTAACCCAACCCCTTGCCTTTGGCTGGCACATTTCTCCCCAAGCCACCCTATACAACCATAATCTAAACTCTACATAGGATTACCCTCAACCCTGACACAAAAGGGACCTAACACCCTAACCTGCCACAAGTAAAGCAGGGGAACCGTGGCAGCCAGTGTCTTGCCTCTATAAAATTTTGTCAATATACATGCACAAGGTCGTGGGTAGAGGGCCACACCCCACGCTACATAGGAAGGCAACCCCCCCCCCCCGGTCTATACTAATCTGAACATGGAGTAAAATTCCTTCCTGACCTCAAATATGGCAATCGGTCTGACCCTGAGCTGAGCAGCAATATCATCTAGCCTGCAGAAATTTTCATATAGTACCCATAGACTTAGAAAATCCAGAATTGAGACGTTACCTTATTGAAACTGCTGCAAGTTTTAGCAAGTATAAACATACTTTTAAGCAGCACTTTTGTATTTACTTAAGTATAATACAAATTCTGCTTAATGTTAGTCCAAAGTCATATAGTTCATTGGGCTGGGCCCCAGCAGAACCAACAGCACTTCAAGTCATGGTGACCTCGCAGCTCAGCACTGCTCTGTGTGTGTGTGTGTGTGTGTGTGTGTGTGTGTGTGTGTGTGTGTGTGTGTGTGTGTGTGTGTGTGTGTGTGTACACTCCAGATACATTAGCCCTCCCACTCATGACTGCATTTAGGGGTTCTTGTTATGAGTCCTGGGATCCTCCAAAATTTTCTATGCAGATGAGGTGCAGAGCAACACACCTCATGGATGGTGGGGCCGCACTAATCATACGCAACAGGCCGAGAGAGGGGCAACAGAAAAATTGTAGGTAAACTGGTTGGGGCCCCATTTGGTGAAGTTTGCCAGACATTTAAGGCTGGTGAAGAAAAGTACAGCAATACAAGGAATTCTGTTGCTGGTGCAGTTAAACCACTTTCCTGAATGAGCTACAGGACTCTTGTATCAACACAGTGGATGTTGCCAGCACAGCTGTCTTGGGTAGAGCCTGATTTATTTAATTTTTACTTTCCTGACCCAGCTCTGCCTGCAAAACTTTGTACTGTAGCACTTGTCTTGTTCAGAGACAAAATTACATTGTATCACTGTATCAAAGCATAATATCTGTCATTTCTTTTGATGTTACAGTTCACATAAGGCCAATGTCCATCCTGCAGTCCTGGTTGACTTCATTAGGGGTAACAGTATTAGGATCTTTCCATTGAACTTGCAGGGAAAAAGGGCACAAGCTTGAAATCTTTACCCATTTCATTCAGTCCTGGCAAAACTATGGTGTTAAATGTCATTTTTGCCTGCATGATAACAGAATAATAACTGCAGGGTAACAGAATAAGGGCCTCAGCACTTAGCCCAGAATCTCTGGCTATCTGAGTCAGATTTAGAACAAGATATTCATAATTTAATAGAAACTACCTATTTCCTAAAGTGAATAGAGTTTGGAGAAAGGAAAAAATCTTGGCATTATGATCTGGAAAGACACTAAATGGAAAGAAAGTGAAGTAGAAAGAGACACACTAATACAGTCCAGTCAAATAAGCACATCCGGTGTTAAATGTAGTCTAAAACATGCGTTCAAACAAAAGGAAGCAGATCAGATTATTGCAGAAAGTAGCACAACCAACCTTTTCCTCCAGGTCCTTGATCTGTCTCTTTTGGATGTCAGTTTTATCTTCTAAATCTCGGATCCTCTAGACATTAAAAAATATATATATTCCAAAAGGAGAGAAATATTAAGAGTTTTGCTCAACTGAACATGCCACTTGTCTTGGGCACACAATTTAGAGAGCCAGGAAATGAAGAGTTAAGATATCTAGCCAGTTCTACAAGGACTGTAATAATTTGTACCTATCATCAGCTCTTCCACTGGATGGGTGGTTAGGTTACTTAACTGAGATTTGTGGATTTCGATTCAAGCCCCAAGTCTGAATCAGGAAGAGCTGTACTTTGAACCCAGATCTCTTACATCTCAGCCAAATGCCCTAACCACTGGACCTTACCTCCCTCTAGCTTGGTGAAAATAGTTTGAAAAGTCTCAGTTTCATCCTGATAAGGAATGGGAAGCATTCTAAAAAGACTGAACATTTTCATGGGACAAGAAAATCATTTTCTATCCCCATCTCAACTATGAGCCTCCTCAGTATGGTTTAAATGTGCTGGCATGCTGAACAGCTTAGCAGTGACATACTGTGGGTCTCTGGTGCCTGGGGGCCAATGCTTGCATTTGTGCTCCCCCCACCCCACCCTTCCTGTAGCAATACTTAAAGTTTCCCACCCTGGCCCTCTTTGGTTACTTGTTTTGGCCGGGAAGGAAATGAAAGTTCTGGCACACTGCACAGGGAGGGTGGCAGCTGGATTTTCCGGCTGGAACAGGTAACTAAATATCCAACCCACAGAGCAGGTGGGCAGGTTATGCAATGACTGTGGCTGCCACTGCTGCACTGCTGTCCACAGGTTTTGTCGCTAGGATGGGCCGGTCCCTGGTCACATCGTGCAATAAGAACTCTGAAGGGCCCAGCATTGGCGACTCATATTCATCCTGGAGTCAATCCTGACTCCAAGATCCCTCTCTGCCTCTGTGCTGCCGAGAGGGGCAGCCCCTAACCTATAACCATAATGCTGGTTCCCTCTCCCCAGGTGCAGCACCCTGCACTTGTCCTTGTTGAACCGCATCCTGTTCAGATCCGCCCACTTCTCCAACCTATCCAGGTCTGCCTGGATGCGGTCCCTGCCTGC